TTTAAGGATATTATTTTATATTCGACTAATTAAAACATTATGCCGCTGACCAGCTCAGCTGATAAAAATAGCCAGGGCTAAAAGTGGTAAAAGTTGGCTTTTGGATTTAATGTTTACGGTCACACTGATAGAGAGCATCTGCTTTGGAAATACAGTGCCTTTAATTACACAATAACTATAATATTTTAAAAGAAACCAATGAGTATAAGATATAAAGTGCAAGTATAAGTCAATAAATATCGTAAAATGTTTAGAGCTAGCTGTATTTTTCGAATGGGCAGCACGCTACGGCAGCGTCAACTTCATACCGGCGTTACACGACTCAAGCGCCGCAAGACAGCTGAGGAGAAGGTAGGACAGTTATGGTGAATGAAAGGTGACGCAGAGAGCAATGAGCATAACACGTCATGACGTCACAAGTTGTCAAAGAAGACAGTAATGCTCAGTGAGAAAACATATTTCTGACCTCAAGTTTTCCGTAAAGCTGATGCTACTGCCAGCGTCATCTTTTCATGTTATATGCTCGCCATGCTTGAAACTCTCTGATGAGAACATGCTGACTAATTTTGTAGAAATCCCCTCGAATTATAGAGTACTCCCCCAAGAAGTTGCAGTCGGCCAATGCAGCAGCCGCACACGGCGCCACCGACATTTGGCGCTACATGAGCGTAGCAGAGCTGGCAAAGAAACTGGAACGGCCTTTGGGTAAGTCGGAATTCGATGAAAATCTAATCTAATAGTTCTAATAAGATTGCATCTAAATGCAGACGATGTGCAGGAGGCAATGTTATATGTGCCTGGCGCGGACAACATCGAGGCAAACGCCAAGCTGGAGGATCTGAAGATTATTCAGAATATCGCAAAGAAGCTGGGCGCCAAAACACGTGTTGTAGCCGCGCCAGAAGCAGACACTGAAGACGAGCACAAGGATCGGGATGTTTTCCCCCGACCACCAGCTCCGCCAGAGCTGCTAAAGCATCGCCCACCAGTGGTCACGGTGATGGGTCATGTGGATCATGGCAAAACGACGCTTTTGGACTCGCTGCGTGGTGCAGATGTCGCTGCTGGCGAGGCTGGTGGCATTACACAGCATATTGGCGCCTTCACTGTGACGTTGGAGAACGGCGAAAAGGTCACGTTCCTGGATACCCCTGGACACGCGGCATTCAGTGCTATGCGAGCTCGTGGCGCCGTAGCCACTGACATAATTGTGCTCGTGGTGGCCGCCGAGGATGGCGTGATGGCGCAAACACGAGAGGTCATTCAACTGGCCAAAGAGGCCCAGGTGCCCATCATCGTGGCGCTGAACAAGATTGACAAGCCCGAGGCGAATATTGTAGGCTTTCCGAATGATCTAAAGTGAATACGAATATATCACATGATTCACTTTATGTTTCAGGAGAAGAGCAAAACTGAACTGGCCCAAATGGGCTTGGCGCTGGAAGAGCACGGAGGAGATGTTCAGGTTATACCCATATCGGCACTCAAGGGCACCAACTTGGAACTTCTGGCGGAAGCAGTTAGCACGCAGGCTACGCTAATGGGCCTCAAGGCAGATCCCACGGGTCTTGTCGAGGGCATTGTAGTCGAGTCCAAAACTGATCCACGCCGTGGCAAGCTATCCACGGCCATTGTCACGCGCGGCACATTGCGCAAGGGATCAGTGCTGCTGAGCGGGCTAGCGCATGCCAAAGTACGCGGCCTCTTCGATCACAATGGTGCGCCGCTAACAGAGGCCGCGCCCGGCACGCCTGTGGAAATACTGGGCTGGCGCGAGTTGCCGCTGGCTGGTGACCTGATACTCGAGGTGGAAACGGAGGTGAGTTATACTCATTTGATACAAAAACCGATGATCCCTTGTTCATTGTCAACTCAATTCTACAGAAAAAAGCGCATGCGGTTCTTAAATATCGGGAGCACCAGGCGCAACTGGCCAAAGTGGAATCAAGCAGCGATGAAATTCGTAAAAAGGAAGAAGAGCATCAAGCGAAGTATCGTGCCGAACGTGAGGCTCGCCGCCTGGCCGGTCGCTTTAGGATGCGAGGGGGCCAACGGGTGAAGCAGATTGATAAAAACGACGGCATTCCACGCGTGAGCGTCATTGTCAAGGGCGATGTGCATGGATCTGTGGAAGCCATATTGGATGTGCTAGATACCTACAACAGCAACGATCGCTGTCGCCTCGACATCGTGCATTACGGCGTGGGCAATGTGACCGAAGGGGACCTTGAGCTGGCCAAAGCCTTTAATGCCATAATTTATGCCTTTTCCGTGGAAACACCGCAGACCAAGGAGGCCAAAGATGTGAAGATCAAGAGCTACAATGTCATATATCGTCTGATTGATGATCTCAAGGAGCAGCTGAGCAGTCAACTGCCACCTGTGGAGGCGGAGGAGCAGCTCGGCGAGGCCAATGTGCTGCAGAACTTTTTCATCAATGAGGGACGCAAAGAGGTTCCAGTGGCTGGTTGTCGCTGCACCAAGGGCGTTCTTAAGAAGGCACAAAGGTTTCGCTTGCTACGAGACGGCGAGGTTATTTACGATGGGGCTTTGGAGTCGATGCGCCACTTGAAAAACGAGGTGGATTCCATTAAAAAGGACGTCGAGTGTGGCTTGCGCTTCAAGGATGCCAAGGTACTGCCCCAGCCGGGGGACGTCATACAATGCTACACCACGCATATGGAGGCGCAGAAAACGGATTGGGATCCTGGCTTTTAGTTAATTGCTGTTGAATAACTAATTTACATTGTTGCCGCTGCTTTTGTTATCGCCATTTCATGCATATTATATCTATAGTTTTGTATTATATATTGTGTATATAAAACAAATCCACTATACGACTTCCTGTTGATCTTACTGCTGCTCGGGCGCTGCCACAGCCACCCTTCACCCACATGCCGTGCGCTTAGGATAACGCCGCTGCCGCAGCGGAACTGCCGCCGATAAGCGTCTGACAGCGGCAACTGTGACGACGATGACGACGACGACGACGGCGACAGCGACTGGCGCTGCGACAGAAGCTACTGCAGCTGCGTGCGCCCCTGGCTGTCCATGTGCACGCCATGACGGATGCTGTCTAAATGGGTCAAAGCAATGCTAATTGGAGTTAACCCACACCAAGGCAGAATGAAACAGCATAGAAACCGCCTCAGACCTCAGCGTATTCTCCTCATTCTGCTCTGATAAACGATTTCCGTTGGGGGTGGCCAATTAGCGCTTAGCTCCACATTTATTTATGAATGAGCTCTTTTTATTTAAACCACATCGCATTTTAAATATTATACACATGCTTAATTTTATTTAATCGCGCCTCAATTCTTCCCTTGAAACTCGCGGAATGCTTTTTATTTTTGCGCTGCGACAAAGCTACTTATTAGCTAATGGAAAGAAACTTTCCCTCAGTGGCAAGCTGATAAAAAGGGAATATCTTTAGGCACTGCACTGTGTGCCGGGAATACACAGAAAACGAAATCCCCAACTCCGATATATATATTTACAAGAAATCTAGGCCGTAGCATATATGCAATAATCCACTAGAATATGCAAATTCCTCATTTTATTATCACTTCAATAATTACCTATGTATAGTTTTTGAATATCTTTCATTGTCATTGAAGTTGGTTATATATGATAAGGGGAAAGTCCTTCAAATTGGATATGCTCCGTTTGAATGAACTTACATTGCCAATAATAGAACATTAATTTAAACTTAAAATATGTGAATTTTTAAAATTCATTATTAATTATAAATTCAACTCCATGAAATTATATTTCATAGTTAATTCGACTATTTAGTCAGTGTGCAGCAAAAGTTTTCAAGCCGCAGCTGAAAATCGACCTACGATAAGCGAATCGTAGCATACGGCTCCAAAATAAAACGCCGGAAACCGGGACTTGGATTAAGCTATTTTTGGTGACTGAGATTGTATACGGAAGTCGCCAAAGAGTGGAATGCGGAAATAATCAGCAGACAAAACGACCAAAATTGTTCCAGAATGAATAATTTATGAATGAGCTTGTGCAATTAAAACAGCCTAGTAATAGATCCACTATGGACACTCGATATGTCGATGCAATGTCGTTGATGAATACGCTGAATGAATTTGTCAGACTGCAACGATCGCCCAGCAGATCATTTACCCTCCAAATCTATATATATATTGTCTGAATAGTTAAAAAAATAATGGAAGAGGTCAAATCAGAGCGTAAACATGCACATGTGTTTTAGCTGCAATTAACACGAAATTACTACTGTATATTGTATGTAGTGTGTATATATATGTATTATGACAAGGATCGGCACCCTGCAAAGGACCCTCGCTGCCTAAAGGCCGACGACATGTGTTCGTCAGGCACGCTCATTAGGGGCGTCAAATGATCTTGGCTCTTGACTCCGACATCAATTTCAATTTCAACATGTGAGACAATAACGAAGCAGTAAATCACGGCTTTGTTGGCTACATACAACATTAATACACATACACACGCATACACACACACACGCATCCACACGTGCAACGCATGAAGATCAAAGTTGCAAAGTTGTTAAGAGAAAGAGAGAACCAGTTGGAAATGGAGAGCGAACGGCCTCTCCGACTGCGGACTAAAAAGTGAGCCCAGTCGCTTGTGGGGGCTGTGAGCAGCCGGTTCAAAAGCAAAAGGATCACACGCAATACAGCTGCATCAATCGAACGCTCAATAGCTTGCAAGCATCATTACAAAGAGTATATATAGTTTGTATGTTTAAAAAAAAAGCAAAACAATAAGAAACGCTGCTCAGTAACTAACCTAAGAAGCCCTTTATCCAGTTTCGGGCTGATTAGAAAGAACACCAAAAGCAACGGAAGCACAAACCCGCTGATCGTGGCGCTATCGCTATAGTTGCTTGGACGCCGACGTCCACAACGACGCTGACGCTGACGCAGACACAGACGCAGACGCAGACGTCGACAGCGCAGACGACGCCTTGTGGTGGTGCTTGTGGTGCTGCAACAGAATTAGAGCGATCTCGTCTCGTTCAGTTTGTGGCGTACGCTCTAGCCCTGCGGGTGTGCTGGTGATCGTGATCGTGTTGGAAGGACGTGCTGGCAAGGACGACGGCGCCTGTTTGAAAGCATCGCACGATTCCTTTTGGCAATGCGCAAGCGCAAAGTGCAAACAAATGTTCGAGTGACAAGTGTGCAACAGAAATAAATATACAAATTAAAACTCAAGTGATAAACATTTCAAGTGCTTGGCCAACGAAAGCAAACTTCTAAATATCTGTGCAAGCAATACATGAGGAGCAGCGCCAAACGCTGTCGATTACTATATAGATAGCACCAGCGGCGAAATGGATTTATCGAGGCGGTTGCGGTAAGCATCTGACAAATATGTATCTCATAGATACAATTGCCAGCCGCAGCATCGGCAGCAGCGGCAACAGCGGCAGCAGCAGCGGCAGCAGTTGGATTGTGTTTGGCACGAAATTGATTCCTTTTGTGCTCGCCCACAAATTACAGTGTCAATGCGAATTTTAATTTCATTTGAACTACATGTGCAAACACTTGACTTGGCTCCTGACTGGCTGCCAGGCATCCTGCCTGACTGGCTGCCACTGATTGTCCTGCACATGTGTGCGTTCAGTCTGTATCTGTGTGTGCATATGTGTGTGTGTGTGTGCGGGGGCGAGCGTTTGTCCTGGGAACGTGCTTCCTGTGCAACAGGCGTTGCGTTATTGACAGTACGCGACTGCCATTATCCTGGCCAACATTTTGTTTGCATGCCAAATTACATTGCCCGTTTAATTGAAGTTTGTTAATGAAAATTGCAACATTTTGCCAGCAATTTGAAAAGCATCCTTGGCCCCGTTCGTTGTCACACCGAGCTCTGCGTAATTAGTGTTTCACTATTATCTTAATAGCTGCTCTCAAATGAGTAAATATTCCGCTTAAGAGCGGGATTCAATCTGCCATTTGACAAATTATTTGCGTGAATTTCTTTAATGCTTTTTTCGCGGAAAACTGCCATCCAAATATTTATGTAGAAATGGAAATGAGAAATGTAGAAATAGAGCAGATCGTACTATGAGAAATCATGCAATGCAAAGGATTTTAGTATGCAGAGAAAATAGTACAAATTCTGTATGGAATGATCAAAGTTCTTCTGCTATCGATATTTCCGGTTAAGGTAGATTTCTGAAAAGCTTTTTTGGCCCACATGCTTTGTCCATTACCCGTTTGGTTTTTACCTTTGGATTTGTTAGTTTTTCAAATTTGTGTGCGAACACAGAAATCAAATCAAAATTTCATATGGAAATGTAAATATTTATGTGTGTGCCGCCTAGTGTGTGTAGGTGAAGTGCGTGCGCTTTGAAGTGCTCCCAAGAACAGCCTCGCCAAAGAAACAAAAAATTGAGATGAAGAAGAAGAAGAAGAAGAAGTTCGAATTGAAGTGAAACAGGCAACCAGAAATCATGTGCAAAGTCAGTTCAAAGTTGACTGCGACTCCGATGCTGCTGCTGCTGTTGCTGCTGCTGCTGCTGCCACTGATGGATCTTGATGGAGCTGAAGCAGTTGCTCTCACGCACACGACGCTGGACATCTATCTGTTGCGTGTGATCTGCAGCACTGTCTGCGTTTTATTTTTGGCTAAAGTCATAAAGTTGCCGACGTGGTGGCCAGCAGACATAAATGCCGAGAACTTGTTCCCCCATGCCAGACTCTAGCGCGACGTCGCCTCTGGCCAGCTGGTAGTTAGCGCATCCATTCGTCAAGTATTTTAAAGTTTTTCGCGAAAATCACTGGGCTTGCCACTTGAAAAAAAAAAAGGAAAACGTTGCACGTTGTCAACGGCGATGCCGCTTTTTTGTTGTTGTTGTTGCTGTTTTTTTTTTGTTCTCTCTCAATTCAATTTTGGTTTTTGTGGCTCTTTTGTTTTTTTTTTGGCCCGCTTTGTTCCGCGAAATTGCGTCAGAATGTGGCCAACACATGACCTCTTTAGCGTCGACTTTGGCGGATGCGATAACGACACGTGTTCATCTATAGATTGAATCAAACTCTGCAGGAGCTGTCATAAACAATATTCTTTGAATAATTGAATTCATATTTACTTGGCGAAATTTTATAAAAGAACTATCAGCTCGCTTCAATACAATGCAAAATGAAGGCAAAGTCATATGCATAATCAGATTTATTCAATACATTGTCAAGTGCTAGAAAGTTGTCTGTTTATTTTCCATAAATATGTGGTAAACAATTCACATGTTGATAATAAATTCATTTTCCATTGGATAATATTTGATTCATTCAGATTTCTTACTCAAGTATTTTAGCATTTCTCGCCTTGAATGATTGGGGCGTAAGGCATTCGGTTATTCAGCTGGCCTATGCGTATGACTTGCGACCAACATCAAGCTGGGTCGGGTCAATAGACACTCTGTAGTTTAATGGCACAGCCTAAACACTTTAAGAGTCTCGTCTATGTGTGGGGCTATTAACTGGTCATATAAGTAACTCAGTTTCATTACACAAAGCGAAATTTTGTGACTCGTGACGTCTTTGAACTTGACTTAGTTGTTATTAATGTTGTTTAGTGTTGGAAAACGACAAGCGGTAAAAGAAAGACTGTTATAAAGGTGTGTACTGCAATCATCGTACGCATTGCAATTAACTGAAATGTAGATCTACTGAGTGAATATAGCCAAAAATAAATTCATGCCGATTATGTAAATATATTCATTCGTCCAGCTACATACGTGTTCCTGGCTGCTGCTGGCATTGTTTGTTATGCTTTAACTACATTTTTTCCATCGAAACTCATTAAATTTCCAGCAGAAAGCAGCAACAGCAACAACAACAACAACTTGGCCAAATTGTTTATTAAGTGTTTGTGTGCTTTTAACTAAGTATAAACAATAAATTCCAGAAATGGATGCTTTGAAAATGAAAATGATACGCGCACACACGTTTCACTCTATCGAAGATTTCGAGCAGAATCATGCTCATAATATGGACACCGTAGCACGAGGCAAATAAACATATTTCGATTGCATAATTGAATCTTAGTTACTATTAATAAATTGTTTAAGCAAATGCCCGATGGGGGGCACCCTCCCCCCCCTGACTAGGCGGCTGGTGTGAAAAATACGCCGGAAATTCAATGTGCCTGAAATTCGATGTTGCGCATGCAGTTTTGTGGAAAATGAAATGAAATTAACGAGAATATCGAATGATGCGGCAAATGAGCAACAAATTAAACACAAGTCGTTCGCAGGCTTAAACAAACGACCCGTCTTGTTGCAACTGCGGTCCTTCTCTATGGCTCAATTGCAGTCCAAGTTCAGGGCGGCCATGTTGCACGCTGCATTTGCAACATGTGTGCCTTGGGTCCCCACCGACTGCAGACTGCCCCCCAGTGGCAGTTAATGATCATGAGCTGGCGCAGATCTTCAGATCTGCAGATCTTGTTCCCATGACTTTATGCATTATGCTTAATTAACAAAGGCTGCCGACGTCGCGACGTGGCGACGTTGGGCTTAATTATTCCATAGGCTAGCGTTAAATCAAATGCCAGCTACCAGTCCGAAATATGTTAATTTTTAGCCCAAAAGCCACACAGGCACACATATACCGACATATATGGCTGTGTATGGTTATGTATGTACATACATAATTAAATCGATCGCCTCGGCTACGGGCCGAGTATTTTCATGGGGTCGACGCACGCTGCAACGCGGAAGATAAAAAGGATGCCCCAAAACAAGACACACAAAATATGCCGTCGCAAAATTGCAGAGGCCGCAACAAGCCGCAAAAGTCAAAAACAAAAAACACAACTTCGCATGAGGCAAAAGCAAAAAATATCCAAAATTTCTGCATGCGAACCGGGTGACAGTGGGCATTAGCAGGCAGCATGGAGGCCTCAATGGGATGCGTCACATGCAGCGGCAGTAGGCAGTAAATGTGCCTAAAAAGCGCCGCTGCCGGCAGAGACAGTCGCAGCAGCAGCAGCAGCAACAGCACCAACAGCAACAAGTGAGGCAGAGCGCAGACAGAGCAAAAAGCCATAAAAATATTTTGACTGCCGGCTAAAGACGCGAGCTGTTTACTTGTTGTTGTTTCAGTTCTTGTTGCTGTGGGTTGTTGCAGACGTGATTCAAATTCCGATGACAGCAAAGGAACAGAATAAACCCAAAGTGGAAACAGCATAGCTACATTGAGAGCAGAGCACAGGATCAGTTTTCCTGATTGACTTCTGTCATTGCAGCTTGTTGCATCATTTAGCATTCACATAATGCAAAGTACACCTTGCACACGTAGCAATGCTAGCAAAGCATCCATCAGTTAATAAGAAATCTCATGAAATATTGCTCTTCAGTGCTGAGCATAACAATTCCCGTTTATAATTGCGTAATAAATCAATGTCGCTGCTCTACATTTTGGCTGTCAGAGAGTTAGCTTGATTGAGATGTAGCTTGATTGTTTGCTGTGCGTCACGAAAGTCGAAGAATGGAAACTTAATTTACAATAGATATCTCAGATATCTAAAGAAGTAGTCGTACTTGGATGAATAAAAATAACAAGAATCCTCAAAATTCTTCTGAATGTAATTGTTACAAAATAATTTTGATTATGCTCGTAGTCTATTTAACACTTTTCCCACTCTGTAGATTGTTCATATATTTATCATAGCTATTCAAGGATTTTCAATTCATAAATATATTTGAGTTTTTATTCCCATTTATCTATCATTGTTGATTTATTACTGATTGGCATTGGAGAATCGGCTTGAAAATATATTCTCTTAATATATTGAAAGAATTTCAAAATAAACACTATTTTCAAGCATATACCAACCAAATAATATACTTTGGTATTCGCATATATACATAGGTATTCTTAGAAAAATGTTGCGAAATAAATTATCAATGTTATCTTTATTATTAATGTTTATTGTCTGATTTAATAGCACCATAGTGTTTATAGATATTTACGTAACTGCTCATTTGGTTACGTAAATATCTATAAACACTATGCAGGTAATTATGTGCTGAGGTATGCTCGTATTTCTCGCATCCTGGAGAATCTATTTTGAGAAATTGCCAGCTAGCAAGCTGTTTATATTAAGATTTCATAAATCGGCCCAGTTCGACGCATCGGATGGATGGGTACAAAGTACGAAACTTTGAAAGCAAAGAGTTTATGATTTTGCGCTTTGTTTTCGCAATGCTATTAGCAATGAGTACTTTGAGTAGTACTCGGACTTGTCTACGTACAACTTCGGGGCACTCGAGGCAGCGTGTTGCAATCTCGTCCCAAATGAGTTGGGCAAATAGAAAATTGCGAATGTTTACGCGTGGTGGAGGGGCATTTCGTATTATGATGCCTCTAATTAGCTGCCTGGCATCTTTGTTGTTGTTGTTGTTGGTGTTGTTGTTGTTGCTTATTGTTGTTGCAGCGCCTCGCATATTGCACTTCAAGTGGCCGATGCAACATTTGCCATACAAATTTGTTTACAAGTGTTTGTTGCTATTGGCCAGCCAAACATTTCGCTCGCCTGCCGCCGTCAACCAGTGAAATTTATGGGTCAGTAAATTGTCGCTGTTTGCGCTAAAGTGAAATGCAGCAAATGTTGTCCTCACTCTCTCTCTCAGTCTCTCTCCCTCTCTCTCTCTCTCTTGTTCTCTCTTTTGCTTTATTTGTCCCTGTCTAACTGAGCTTCAATGCGAATTCAGTTTGCTCATTTACTTTGCTCGTTTGCTCAAACGCGTGACAAATATTTCATTAGGCATTTATGCAAACTTTGTTGCTGCTGCTGCTGCTGCCGCTGCTGATACTGATGTTGCTGCTGAAGTGCCTTTTAGCTTCAAAGAGCTGCAACTTTGTTGGTGCACACATACACACACACACACCCAAAGCTCAACTGTTGCATTACCCTGCCCGCTAGGTGCCTCACTTGGTAAACAATTGCAACGCAGTGCGTGTGTGCGTTTTAATGTTTATTATTTTCACTACTCAATTGAGCTTTATTAATTTTGAAATTGATAATTGCATGCCCAAGCGTTGCAGGGCTCTTTGGCTAAAAGCAGGAGCCCTAGCCCTAGCCCAAGCCGAGCCGAGCCGGACCGAGCTGAGCTGAGCTGAGCTGTCAAAGTCGTGTGTGCAGTGCTTTATGCAAATGCAATTAAAATTTCAACAATGCAAACATTTACTTCCGTTGCCACAAATGTCGACGCGTTGCGCCAGCATCTTCGTGGAGTCATCCCCGCAGCCATCAGCTGCAGCACGTGCAGCCACAGCGCTCACCTGGTGGGGCATATGCAACATTTACCTGGCCGCCGCTCAGCCACAATTTGGCGTTTTGCATTAGCCAGTGTTTGTCTTGCGATAATTGTATGACTATGTAATTGTATTTGCACACCCCCTACACTGTGGGCGTGACATTTGAAATGGCAATGCTCGTGTATCCTTTCAACTAATGAGGCCAAGCCTGCGAGGCTGCACTTAATTGCCGGCTGTTGAGACAAGGCCAAACAAACCACACGCTCCCACACGCAGCCTCACAAGAGTTGGCAAAATGTTTACTTCATGGAATTAGTGCTGGATTAGGAGCGGTGGTGCTTGCTTATATTATGATAACCTTGGATGGTCGGGGAATCGTGTGGGCATTTAGTCTCTGGATACATTGTGTTTTATTCAGATGTTTACCTATATTTGATTGAGCGTACGCAATGCTATGCTAAATGTTTTCTATATCCAATGATTGGCATCATTTTGACTCCGAGTTCAGCGTTAACTTGTTTTTATCTGCGTTTCAATTTACAGCAATCAAATCAGTTACAATTCCATCAAGGCACATATAAAAACAAAAACAAACGGAATAAAAAAATGCCAACATTTTTTACAATCAGCATTTAAAACGTGGGGCAGCTAAAGTCAAATGATTGCAGCTGGTTTGAGGGGGAGACCCGGGGCAGACGCATTCCATCTTCATCAAAGGCCCGGAGGCTTCTGTGGCATCTGCATAGTACGCACAAATGTTGCATGCTACACTCTTTCATTTACATTCCTTCAGTACATTCTTGGACTTTTAAATAGAACGCACTGCTGCCCCAGCTGCTCCAACTGCCTCAGCTGCCCCAGCTGCTGCTGCAAGTGCCGCAAGTGCCGCAAGTGCCGCAAGTGCCCGACCCAACTACCAGTCGCTGTGGGTTAATCAAGTGGCATGGGAAACTGCGCAAAGACTCTTACTCCGTCCGCCTGCCTAAGTGGGGGCGTTTGCCTGCCACGGCCCCATCGATGAGTCATGTTAGCATAAACAAATCAAACGCTGCTTTCAGTCTTCAGGTGTGGCTGCTGCTGCTGCTTTCAATTTATTTTCGTGTGCTGCTGACGCTTTGTTTAGATTAGTTCCGACTTGCCACATATTTTAGCTAGTCTCTGGCCGTTGTTTAGCATCGAATTAAAGTATTGTACAATTTGTTTGCGTTCTTGAGTTTAGCGGCTAAGTGCACGCACTTGTACACTAAGTGCTGCTGTTAATGTTGTTGCGGCTAATAAGCAGCGCCGTTATTTATGACGGCCATTGCAACATTTTGGGCTGCAAATGCACTTGTTGCTTGCCACAGATTTCCCAATAGAAACAAAAACACACATGTTGGATTGGATGAGAACTGAATGGGAACAAACATTGCCAGCTAAGGGGTGTGAAACAAATAATCAACTCAATTTTCTTCGACATATTATTTTAACACCACAGCTTGAGGAAGGATGTTTGTTTTATTTAGAAACAAGGAAAAAATTAAAATAAATTCAACAAAAATGTAGCACTAATGGAGTTTTAGCTAGTTTCCAGTATTATAAATAGTTGAGTGGGGATTATGTTTGTTTGCTATCAAATATTATAATGGCTCTTGAATTTATTTCTGTTAAGCAATTAGTTCCGGTACAAGAGAGAAAACACTTTATATATATTAAAAGCTAGCAGGCAATCGACCATTTCTTGTAAGTACTTGGTAATAACTACTTCTACTTGTCTTACAGCCACCTATTGTGTTCCATTGTTGTTTAGTGATTTCTCTGCTCTGAGCAGCAAACAATACAGTCCATTGTTTGATTGTTTAAGTGGAATCCTTTCATTTTAGCTTAAACTGGGACTGTAAATTAGCCCAGCCCACAATGTGGAAAGCTTTGGCAGAACGCTGCCTTGATCTTGGCCATTAGCAGGCATTGAGCCATTAGAGACTAACAGCCACAGTCCAATTGGGGTCAGAGCGAAGCCAGTACAATTCATAGCAAATGTATATATATATATATACATTTACCTGGACATGGGTCCGATGTTATCTTGTTGTGCTGCAGAGCTTCCGTGGGATTTTTGGCATTTCCTCTTTGTGTTTGACATTTCTGTGGGGGCGGTGTGCGTTTGAATGCCAGTGGTTTCATTTGATGTGTACGAGCGATGCCTGGACATGGACATATGTATCTCACGATTGTGGCAGCTGTTTATGTTTCTGTCACGTGGTAGCCACCATATGTGGCAGCCAGGAATGTGATAAAGCATACGTCGCATGTCTATATGTATGCACGATATACAAAGTTGTTCTTGGTAACAATTTAGTTATATTTTACGTGTGGAAATTTGTGCGCCATCAGCAAGCAGCTACGCATAAAAATGGAATCAGAGACTGGCCATGACTTTTGCGGTGTCAGCAGATTGCGCTGAACTATCCAATTAATAGCGCGTCGCTGTTCTAGCCGGGTCCGAGTTTGTCACAGTGTGCTGGTAGTGTCTTCTGTTTGTATGACGCAATAGATTTGGAGGCGTCTAAGCGACGCCGCCTTCAGGCCAGAGTCAGCCTGGCTCAATGGACTGTGAAATGTGTGCCGTGGCGTTGCCGTTGCCGTTGTCGTTGTCGTTGTCGTTGTCGTAGTCATAGTCGATGTCATTGTCGGTGCTCTGCCAAAGCAATAGGTGTCCTGGCATTGGTTTCAAAAGGGAAATGCGCTCAAATTGCATTAAAATACCAACACAGAGGCATTAAAATTATGGCCACACACTTGGCGGGCAACACTGCTACCAAGTCCTGGCCCTGTCATAAGCAGCACGCCTGCTGTGCCCCACGGTCGTACTCCCAGTCGCAGTCGCAATCGCAGTCGCAGCTGCCGTTGCAATCGCAGCCAGTCGGAGGCGTCCAAGTGTAACAAAACGCAGGCTTCTTGCACGCAGCGTCAAAAATTAAATTGGCAAGCCACCAACAACGAGCGGGGCCTGGGGCCACTAAGCCCCGTTGCCTGCAACATTGAACGCTTTTGACATATTCACGCAAGTTGTCCTCGTTCCCCGTCCCCGTCCCCGTCGTTGTGCTCGTCCTTGCTCTCGGCCTCGGTCCTGCTCCTTCGACTGCGAATGTTAGTACGACTGAGGCTGCTGCTGCGGCTGCGGCTGCGGCGTCGCCTTGTCTGTGGCATAATCATATATTCTCTGCTGGCGGGTACTTATTATTTGCTTGTTCTTTTCTTTTTGGCAAATCGGCAGGAAGCGCTGCTAAATTATGTCTTGTTTATGTGGCATTGCATATTTATGGCCAGCGTTTCGGCGCACTATAAAAAAATTGTTACCAAAAGAATGATATTGCAAAATTTGACTTGACCAAGTTCGACTAAGTCGCCCACTCCACCACAGATGCCCCACCACCAGCATAGCTGTACAATGCAAAAACAAGTTCAATGTTTGTTTGCTCTGCCCAGTGGACAAAAACAAGTTCGTGTTGTTGTTGTTGTTTCTGCTCGTCTGAAGCCCTAGAAAAGTTTATTTGTACACCTTTGCTGGACGTGGCGTGCCTTCTTTTCTTTTTTTTTTTTTTTTTTTGAGAAAGTCTTTGACAAGTAACTGACTCCCGTCTGCCTTTACTCTTTCTCACGCACGCTCTCTTTTTCGCATTTCCCCTCCCTTTTACGTCTCTCACATCCGCCTTTGTAACCAAGCAAAGTCGTCAAATATTTGCAACAAGTCAACAGGTGACGACGTGTTCCATGGCTTTCATTCATGTTTGTGTGCAGACAACATTTTAATTAAATTGTTTTGATTTCCGTCTCTGCTTACAGAATAACTGCCTTGATAGCATTCATATTAATAATATGTGTACCAGACTCACAGAGTAGATTCGTAAGTATAACCACTTCACGTTATTGCCAATCCACCCATTGAACCGCTGTCTTCCTGCTTAGCCTGGACTACGCGCAAAAAGACAATATGGCGCCAATCTTTATTTACCCGCTAGCTACGTGATCCCGGGCGGAGAGGGCGACGATCCTAGCGAGTGGACTGACTGGAGCTCACCCTCGGAGTGCTCGCGCACCTGTGGAGGCGGTGTTTCCTATCAGACGCGTGAATGTCGCCGTAGAGAGTGAGCTGACTTTATAAGAAATCCTGAATCTTATGCTGACCATTAATTCTACTCAAATTTTACTCAGTGCGAATGGCGACGATATGTGCAGCGGCGGCAGTCGCCGTTACTATTCATGCAACACGCAGGACTGCCCTGAGGAGGAGCCAGATTTCAGAGCTATGCAGTGCTCGCGCTTCGATTACACCAAATTCGATGGCGTGCTCTACACTTGGGTGCCGTACACCAATGCGGCGAATCCATGTGAGCTGAACTGCATGCCGAAGGGTGAGCGCTTCTACTACCGCCAGAAAGAGATGGTGGTGGATGGTACACGGTGCAATGATAAGGATCTGGACGTCTGCGTCAATGGCCAGTGCCTGCCCGTTGGCTGCGACATGATGCTGGGCAGTGATGCCAAGGAGGACAAGTGCCGCAAGTGCGGCGGCGATGGCAGCACTTGCAAAACAATTAAGAACATCTATGCATCCAGTGATCTGTCTGCTGGCTACAACGATTTGCTGCTTGTGCCCCAGGGCGCAACCAATATTCGCATTCAGGAGACAGCGCCCTCGAATAACTATCTTGCCTGTCGCAACCAGTCTGGACACTATTACCTAAATGGTAACTGGCGTATTGATTTTCCTCGTCCCATGTTTTATGCGGGCGCCTGGTGGAACTATGAGCGCAAGCCATTGGGATTTGCGGCACCCGATCAACTGACATGCAGCGGTCCCATAACCGAAAGCATCTACATCATAATGTTGGTGCAGGATAAGAATGTGAGCGTGGAGTACGAGTACAGTATACCCGAGTCCTTGAGCCATAGCCAGCCAGATGCACATACATGGACGCATCGTGAATTTGGCCCCTGCAGTGCATCGTGCGGAGGCGGAACGCAGTCTCGTCAAGTTACTTGCAATAATCGTATTAACCTACAAGAAGTCGATGAGGCCTTATGCGAGGCTCATACCAAGCCGGCTGAAACTCAGGCCTGTGGTACAGAGCCATGCGCACCACATTGGGTTGAAGGCGTATGGGGTAAGTGCTCCAAGGGCTGCGGATCCGATGGTTTCCAAAATCGCACGGTAACTTGCGAGCGCATTTCGTCTGACGGGTAAGTTGTATATAAAGCTCGAAAAAAGCAGAAAATTTTAATGATATCAATTTTCATAGTGTTCATACTGCGGAAGATGATGCAGTTTGCCTTAAGGAAGTTGGAAATAAGCCAGCAACAGCTCAGGAGTGCAATCGAGATGTCAAGAACTGTCCGAAATATCACCTCGGTCCCTGGAAACCGTGCGACAAGCTTTGCGGCGAGGGCAAACAAACTCGTAAAGTCACCTGCTTCATTGAGGAAAATGGTCACAAGCGCGTTCTGCCTGAGGAAGACTGCGTGGAGGACAAGCCTGAAGTGGAAAGGGCCTGTCTATTGGCACCATGTGAGGGTGTAGACTGGATTATATCCCAGTGGAGTGGTGTAAGTAAAATGAATTTAAATTTAAGCTAAGAGGGTAATACGATTTTTCTTTCAGTGTGATGCCTGCGGACAGACTACAGAAACTCGTACTGCCGTATGCGGCTCAAAGGATGGTAAGGTGTACCCAGACAAGTTTTGTGGAGACAAGGCCCCTGAACTGACCAGATCGTGCACTTCGTCAAAGTGTGAATCCCAATGGTTTTCATCAGAGTGGAGCAAGTGCTCAGCGGCATGTGGAAAGGGCGCTCAATCGCGTATTGTCCTATGTGGAATTTTTGATGGCAAACAGATAAAAACCACAGATGACTCCAAGTGTGATGCGGCAACAAAACCAAAGACTGATCAAGAGTGTGAAGGTGAAGAAAAAGAATGCCCTGGTCAATGGTTTACTGGACCTTTTGGTCAATGCAGCAAGCCTTGCGGTGGAGGAGAGCGTGTTCGTGAGGTTTTGTGTTTGTCCAATGGCACCAAGTCCCTCAACTGCGATGAGTCGAAGGTTGAATCAATTTCTGAAAAGTGTAATACTCAGCCCTGCACCAAGGATCAAGTCCTGCCTCTTACGAGCACTGATAAGCCGATCGAGGATGATGAAGAAGAATGCGAAGATGATGATGAGTTTGTTTTGGTTGACTCAGACGTAACTGATGTCACTGATGATGACTCAGAAGCAATGTCAACAACCGACGATTTGATGTTGAGCGATAGTCCTTACACAACTTCAGAAGACGCCTCGGCCTCTACCGACAGCACTGTCGAAGGATCTGGCTCAGATAGCACTTCTGATAGTGGATTTGAGGGCAGTGGAAGTGAATCCACAAGTGAAGTATCTACTTCATCTGACGAATCTTCCACTGGAGCAACTGATTGGTCTACTGAATCTAGTGGCTCGTCTGCCATCAGTGAATCGACGTCAGAAGCCTCATCATCATCGGTGTCTGGAGTTACCTCAGATTCCTCCACAAGTGAAGCTTCAAGTGGTTCAACCGATGTTTCAGGTTCAACGGAAGAGTCAAGCTTAGGCACTACGGACGCAAGTTCGAGCGATGCATCGAGCTCAACAGAAGTTTCAGGCTCGACAGAAATCTCAAGCGCGACGGAAGTCTCTGGTACAACAGATATCTCAAGTTCAACAGATGCTTCCAGCTCAACAGACGTCTCAGGCTCGACGGAAGTCTCAAGCTCAACAGACGCCTCAGGCTCAACAGATATCTCTAGCTCGACTGAGGCCTCAAGTTCGACAGACGCCTCGGGCTCGACGGATGCGTCAAGCTCTACGGATGCCTCAAGCTCCACTGACATTTCAAGTGCAACAGATTCTTCAGGTTCTACTGATGGTTCTTCCAGTGGATTTACAGACTTGCCTCTCGAAGCTTCATCTTCGGGAAGCTCTGAATCTAGTAGCTCAACAGAGGGTGTTTCGTCTACATCAGAATCAAGCAGCGATGCAACTAAAGATACAACAGAAGTATCCTCTTCTACTGATACTTCGTCGTCGACAGAGTCATCTGTATCTACGGATACGACTGTCTCGTCATCAACGGAATCTACATCAGAGCTTTCGACGGAATCAACCGAGTCGACTAGTTCGCCAGGCTCAACTGAAAGTACAACAGAGGGCAGCTCATCAGCATCTGCTGATTCATCCTCTTCTGGTATCACTGAATCCACCAGTTCAGGATCAACGGATAGCACCAAGCAAGATTCTACAGATGAATCTACAACAAATGCAAGTAGCAGTTCTGCAGATGGTTCAACGGATAGTACTACAGAGGGTGTCAGTACTGGTTCGACTGATGGCTTGACAGAGACTTCAACAGATGGTTCAACTGATAATTTAAGTAGTGGCTCTACTGATGGCTCATCTGGAGGCTCGACAGATGGCTCGACGGATGTTACGACCGATAGCTCTACAGACAGCTCATCTAATGGCTCCACTGACACAACTAACGCTTCCGAGTCTACTGAATCACAGAGCACTGGCGTCACAGAAAGTACTTCAGAGGGCTCTAGCTCTGGATCCACTATTGAAGGTAGCTCTAGTTCCACTGACAGCTCAAGCTCTACCGATAGTTCAGCTTCCACGGACATTTCTGGCTCCACTGATAGCTCAACAATTGGCTCTACAGAATCTTCCGCTACTACCGACAGCTCTACCGATGTTTCTTCCACTGATATAAGTTCTTCCGAGTCTTCTGACTCAACAGCGACAACGGAGAGTGGAGCTACTACCGAAAGTGGAGGCACTACCGAAAGTGGAGGCACTACAGATACTACATCTGAGAGCTCTACTGATTCTACTGGCTCTACCGACTCAACGGGTAGTTCACTATCTACAGAAACAAGCTCTACCAGCGATATTTGGAGCACATCTGACTCCGATGATGAAACGAGTACACCTCACACCTGGGAGACAACTCTTACGCCAAAGAAAGACAAGTTACGGAAATGTAAGTCGAAGAAGAAGAGTTGTGCTAAGACTGAATTCGGTTGTTGTCCTGATGGCAAGTCGACAGCTAAAGGACCATTTGATGAGGGTTGTCCCATTGCGAAAACATGTGCTGACACAGAGTTTGGCTGCTGTTCAGATGGAGTCTCTCCAGCTAAGGGCAAAAGAAATAAGGGCTGTCCGAAATCAAATTGCGCCGAGACACTCTTCGGTTGCTGCCCAGATAAATATACAGCTGCAGAGGGTGAAGATAATGAGGGATGCCCTGAGCCAACAACTTTGCCGCCAACAACCACTGAAGAATCGACTATTTCGATATCGACAGACGTTGAGGGCTCTGGTGATTCTAACTCGTCCACGGAGTCAGACACCGCGGTTACCTCTTGCTCCTTTACTGAATTCTACTGCTGTCCCGATGGCAAGACTCCTGCTAAGGGCGAGAACTTTGCTGGCTGCCCACAGCTTGGTGGCGCTCCGGGCTGTGAACAATCTGAACACGGTTGTTGCCCTGATCGGCGTACTGCCGCTGCCGGCCCTGATGGCCAAGGCTGCGCTGCGTGCACTAGCGAACCATTCGGCTGCTGTCCAGACAATGAGACTCCTGCTCACGGCCCACAGGGAGAAGGCTGCTGCCTTAATACAGAGTTTGGCTGCTGCCCCGACAACATTCGTCCTGCATACGGGCCCAACTTTGAGGGCTGCGAGTGTGCGTCCTCTCCATACGGCTGTTGTGCAGATCAGAAGACTTCCGCACGTGGACCACAACAGGAGGGCTGTCCATGTGAGACTACTCCATATGGTTGCTGTCCGGACAAAATCACCGCTGCCAGAGGACCCAAATTTGAAGGCTGTCCATGCGAATCAATGCAGTTTGGTTGCTGTCCCGACGGTCTTTCCTTTGCCAAGGGACCGCATAACCAGGGATGCCACTGCGCCCAGACAGAATTCAAATGCTGTGAGGATGGTAAGACACCAGCTAAAGGACCAAACTTTGAAGGCTGCACCTGTGTGGAGACCGAGTACGGCTGTTGTCCAGATGGCGTTACAAAGGCTCAGGATGACAAGTTTGGCGGTTGCGAAAATGTTCAAGAGCCACCGCAGAAGGCTTGTGGCTTACCTAAGGAACAGGGTACTTGCGGCAATTTCAGCGTCAAGTATTACTTTGATACTTCTTATGGCGGCTGTGCTCGATTCTGGTACGGCGGCTGTGAGGGCAATGGCAATCGCTTTGAGACCGAGGCCGATTGTAAGGATACGTGCCAGGAATACACCGGACAGCATGTTTGCCTGTTGCCAAAGAGTTCCGGTCCTTGCCAGGGCTACTCTAAGAAATGGTACTTCGATACAGACCGCAATCGTTGCGAGGAGTTCCAATACGGCGGATGCTATGGCACTAACAATCGCTTCGACAGTCTAGAACAGTGTCAGTCCACTTGTGCCATAAGTGAGACCCTGCGTAAGTATATTAATAGACTATTTAAGATTAAATTCTAGTTGAGTTTGTATTCTATCATAGCCGCCTGTGAGCAACCTGTGGAAAGTGGACCCTGTGCCGGCAACTATGAGCGTTGGTACTACGATAACCAGACCGACGTGTGTCGTCCGTTCACCTATGGTGGTTGCAAGGGCAACAAAAACAACTATCCTACTGAACACGCTTGCATCTACAGTTGTCGACAGCCCGGAGTTCTGAAAGGTTTGAGAATTAATGTATTTATGTACCCTTGGCTCGGGGAAGATCTGTGTAATGTCAATGTTTGCCTTAGTTTAGCTTTAAGCATGACTTTATTTTATTATTTTTGTTTTTATATTTTATTTTATCCTGGTTAACGGTATGATTTTTTTATTTTTTATTATTTACTATCCTTTGCTTGGTGTTTGGTAATGCATGAATGCCTGTTGCTTGCTATCTTATCCTGATCCCCTGCACGCTCTGTTGTTCCGCATCCTTACACAAACATAGAGCAATGCTCCTTGCCTAAGCAAACCGGTGATTGCAGCGAGAAACATGCCAGATGGCAGTTCTCAGAAACAGAAAAACGTTGCGTGCCCTTCTACTACTCGGGCTGTGGCGGAAATAAAAACAATTTCCCCACACTGGAATCATGCGAGGATCATTGTCCTCGACAAGTTGGTAAGCTTTCGATGTTGTTGCAATGGCTTTTGATGTGCGAAAAGCTGTGCCCCCAAGCACAAATACTGTTAACACTGTCTTATTATCTTAGCCAAGGATATTTGCGATATTCCCGCTGAGGTTGGCGAGTGCGCCAACTACGTATTCGCATGGTACTACGATACCAAGGATGCCGCTTGCCGTCAGTTCTACTATGGCGGTTGCGGTGGCAATGAGAATCGTTTCACCAGCGAAGAGGCGTGCATGGCTCGATGCGAAAAGAAACCAGAGCCACCAACACCTCCTCCACCACAGAGTGCCGTACATGTCTGTGATCAGCCGGAGGAGCGTGGTGACTGTGACAATTACTCACTCAAGTGGAGCTTTGACAGATCTAGTGGTGCTTGTCGTCAATTCTACTATGGTGGTTGCGGAGGCAATGGTAATCGCTTTGAGACCGAATCCGACTGCTTGCAGCGTTGCGGTAGACAACCAGAGCCTGAGCGACAGCCTCAGCCTGAGCCACAACCCCAGCAACCCCAACCATCTGGCAGCCTTTGCGAGCAGCCAGCGTCTGTGGGCGACTGCGCGGAATATGTGCTGAAGTGGAGCTATAATTCGACTCTAGGTAGCTGCCAGCAATTCTACTATGGCGGCTGTGGAGGCAATGAAAATCGCTTTGAGACCGAAGAGGATTGCTCCGCACGTTGCATTGCAGGCATTGATGAAGAACCGCGTCCTGGATCCGAAACGGACAAGTGCTTCAGGGGGCCAGAACCAGGAAACTGTTATGAGAATATAACGCGCTGGTATTACAATAGCCAGGAGGGACTCTGCGATGAGTTCGTTTACAGCGGATGTGGTGGCAACGACAATAACTTCGACACCGAGGAGGACTGCCAGAATGATTGCCATCCAGCACAGGAGACCTGCTCCCTTCCCCCAGTAGCAGGACGCTGCAATGACAACTCAAATCGCTGGTACTTCGATGGACGCACAGGCGCATGCCATCAGTTCGTGTTTACGGGCTGCCGCGGCAATCGGAACAACTTTGTGACTGAGCAATCTTGCTTAGAATACTGCCGTCGTGATCAGCCACATCCAGAGCCGGAACCAGAGCCCCCAGCACCAGTAAGCGTAGTAATGATCTCAATTGTCCCTTTAGATTCTTAAAATGTTGCTGCTTTAGTCCTATTCAGTGTGCACACAGCCAGCTGAGGCCGGAGAGTGCGACAACCATACCACCGCCTGGTTCTATGACAATGAGAAGATGCTCTGCACCGCCTTCATCTATAGCGGCTGTGGTGGTAATGGTAATCGCTTTGAGACCCGTGACCAGTGCGAGCGCCAATGCGGCGAGTTCAAGGGTGTCGGTAAGTCAATTAATTCATTTCGAAAGGTGTTCATAAGCTAGATTTATTAACGTGCTGTGTCAGATGTTTGCAATGAACCGGTGACGACGGGACCCTGCACACAGTGGCAGACCCGCTACTACTACAATCGCGATAGTCAAAGCTGCCAGCCCTTCACCTACGGTGGCTGCGATGGCACGGGCAATCGATTCAACGATCTCTATGAGTGTGAGTCGGTTTGCCTCGGTGGCCGCGAGCCGTTGCCTTCGGGTGCGGCTAAAGGTAACAAGAAATGAAGCTCAGAATGAAGGGCTTTTGTTAAATTTGATTTTGTTTTTGATTTTGTCTGGACGTAAGTAGATATCTGCCGACTTCCGGTGATCCCCGGAGTGTGTAACGGCCCCTCGGTGCAGGAGCGTCGTTGGTACTACGATGATGAGCGTGGCACTTGCATATCCTTTATTTACTCTGGTTGCTCTGGCAACCAGAACAACTTCCGTTCCTTTGAAGCATGCACAAATCAATGCGGAAGTAAGCTTGCTCCACAAATCACACTTTATACCAACTGCACTCGAGCACTCTGCACTCAATTTATTACCCACCCCACACACAATTTTGCACTCTGCTTCACCTTCAAATTTGGGAATGCTTATTTAGTTAAGCGTAGAAGTAGTTTTTCCCAAGTAGAATATTTATTGAGTAGTGCACTTTCACTAGATATAAGATTGCACGAATATTTTGTAGATTAGCTGGGTAGTCTCTGTATCGAACAAATCTGAGTTTCCTATTTTTCACAGAGCCCATCGACAACGAGATCGTCAACGAAATCTCACCCAGCCGTTGCGAAACGTATGATAATGAATGCCGTGATCTGCGCTGCCCGTACGGCGTGCGTCGCGTGCCAGCTGAATCGCAGCCAGAGTGTGAACAGTGCATCTGCCTGAACCCTTGCGAGGGCTATCCGTGCCCTGACGGTCAACAGTGTGCCATCGATGTATCCAATTCGGGAGGTCGCGACAATCAGTTCGTGCCTGTCTGCCGTGATATCATCAAGCCAGGCCTCTGCCCACAGCTGACGGCCAATGCCAGCGAATGCGCTCGTGAATGCTATACCGATGCCGATTGTCGTGGCGACAACAAATGCTGCAGCGACGGCTGTGGCCATCTGTGCGTTGCTCCGGCGCGTCCCACCCGTCGCCCCAGCACTCCTCCCCCCGTTGTTATCTACCCAGGCGAAGTGAAAGCCACACTGGAGTCCAAGGCGCCACAGGACGTGGATGTGCACACATCAGTGGGTGGTATTGCAGTACTCCGTTGCTTCGCAACTGGCAATCCGGCACCGAATATTACGTGGTCATTAAAGAATGTTGTTGTAAGTACTCCGGAAGCCCACATACTCCGAACCAATATCATTCGTATACCTCATTCTTTTTAGATTGACACAAACCAAGGCCGTTATGTGCTGACTTCAAACGGTGATCTAACCATTGTCCAGGTGCGACAAACCGATGACGGCACCTACGTCTGCGTGGCCAGCAATGGCCTGGGCGAGCCAGTGCGTCGCGAGGTCGCACTACAAGTGACGGGTACGTGAAAATCTTTCAATATACATTTATTTCAATGCCTTTGCAAATTCGATTATGCATGAAAATGCTTTATTTTAAAGTAGACAAATCTAGAACATTTATTCCGGAAAAGAAGTAATAAGAATCGAAATAGATGTAGTTAGAGACCAGCCTTATCTTCGTTACGAATATTGGATAATCCTTTTGCGGATCCATTTTCTATTATATTATGATATAATATGAACGTGGTACATATTTTCTTTTAGAGGTTTTAGCAAAGGTAGATCTAACGATAGTACGCTGCAGATTGAAATTAAGTTTGGAAATTAGATTTTCAATTGAAATTTAATTGAATTCGGCGAAAGTTATTCAAATTAAACTATATTTTGTAATTATATTTTACTACACAAGAAACTTGCAATTGGTTTTGAATTCTTCGGTTTTTCGAAGATTTGATAAGGATTTTGTCTATTTTATGTTTTATTCGGTTTTGGCTTTATAACTAACTTCTCTTAATGCATGTTGCGTGCCTTTAACCATTTGCATGGCTTTTGATTTTGTGTTGGTGTTGGTAGAGGCTAGAGATGTACCGGCCTATATCTTGGGTGTCAAGAACGTCACCCAAATTGTGCAATTGAATCAACCTGCTTTGGTTCGTTGCCCGGCTGGTGGTTATCCTGCACCGCATGTCAGCTGGTGGCGAAACAATCAACACTTTGGCATGGGTCCCGAAACAAGTCGCGCCGTAATGAACCGCGACTACTCGCTTTACTTCCGATCGGTACAGCTGTCCGATCTGGGCCTGTACACATGCGATGCGTACAACACCGGACGCCCTGTCTCGCTGCACGTAACGCTGAAGGCTATTGGTCCAGCTATTGCTCAAAGCGCTGGCGATGATAAATACTTGCAGTATATCATAAACCCACCAAAGGCACCGGTCACTCAAAGGCCCACCTATCCCTACAGACCTTCGCGTCCGGTCTATGTGCCACCCCCTGTAGTGCATGATCCCAGAAGTAAGTACAAGTTGCATGATACTTTAACATTTGTGGTTTGTGTTGCGTATTTCTACAATATTTGCATAGAGTTGAGGCTAATCTAAGATCTATTTCATTATTGGTGCAGTCGATGCCCGTGCTGTTATTGGCTTGAATCCGCAAAACAAATACACGCCCGGCTCCACAATTGCGATGGACTGCGCCGTGCAGGGTAATCCGGCCCCGAACGTGACCTGGACTAAGGATAACACGCCCTTGTACAACAACGACCGTGTTCAAATAACTGGTAAGACAACCATGGGCCTCTAGCCTTACAATATTGCCATTAATCGTAATTCTGTCGTCTTCCAGCCAATCCGCATCGTTTGGTCGTCAGCGATGTTACAACCGAGGATAGTGGCATCTATGGCTGCACAGCGCGAAATGCCTACAGCTACAGCACCAGCCAGGAGACAGTCACAATCGAGTGTAAGTACTCAAAGAATATGTGAGGTGAAAGAGCAACTAAGATTTGTTTTTTGGATTTTGCAGCTGTCGTTCCACTGTCGCCCGAGTGCATTGACAATCCCTACTTTGCCAACTGCAAGCTGATTATACAGGGCCATTACTGCGTGAACAAGTACTATGCGCAGTTCTGCTGCAGATCCTGCACATTGGCTGGCCAAATCTCGCAGCCTCATCCCAATGCGCTTTAATTCCATACAAAAAAACTTACCAAACTTTCGAGCCTAACATTTTTGTTGGACCTTTGCAATGAATTGAGTTTAAACCAGAAAATATTCAGAGAATGAGCAACGTCACAAACCATAGATAGACCAAAAATACCGCCAACTGCATAGCCCACAGATCAAATATATAACGAATGTTTTTCTAAGTAAAACAATATGCATAAATAGCCGATAAACGATAATTTCTTCCAGCACAAAAGAAAATAGTATTAGTACTTTATATTTTTTGTTCCTATTTATTCTTGATTTAAATTCAATCCATAGAAGAAAGTGGCTAAAACTTATTTTCATTTGATATCTATTACTTAGTGTTTTTTTCTACGATATTTGTGCAACGAGTAAAGCAATTTAAGCCTAAAAATATTTGTAAATAAATTAAAATTATATAATAAAGAGTGCATATGTATAAATAATACATACTTTAATTGTTTTTGGTTTAATTTCAACTTTCTATCGCCTCAAATATATGTGAACAGAATTATTTGAATGCCCACACAGTCTGGCAACGCCGTGCACTAAGGGGTTATTGATTTTCCACAGACGGTTGTGCTGCAGCTGTTTGTTGGATTCTGCGCTGTACTTTGGGGTGGATTGAAGTTGGGAGTAGTACACAAAGAGATAATATAATTTGTTTGTCTCTGTCATCGCGCTTAAGCTCGAATATCAAAATTTTAGGGACAGCTAAAATAAAGTTCAAATTATAGAACTATGGAGGACAGTGGCATAGACAGTGAGGACAGACAATCGAATATATATGAGGATGGTGCGGCAGGCTTGCTGGTAAGTGCTGAAGCAGCTCGACAAGAAAACAAAAGCTCATGGCTAAGCCCAATACAGAAAACGGCTAGTGGAGCGCCCAAACATATGTCGGATCTGGAGTTTGAGGTGGCCTTTAGGGGTGCCAGCAAGGTGTATGCGCCCACGACCATTGAAATCGATGACGACAGGGCTGCGCGGGGGACGGAGCGCAGCGAACCGCCAAACACCTGCCGCATACTGCAACGAAAACTGGAACTGAAGGTCGAGCGTGCCAGGCGCAATTATACGCAATACCAAGAGGAGCAGGTGGGTGCACTTAGCAAATGAAAAGTGTGCTGGAGCTAATGCCGAGATCCGGTCCATTTTAGGCGACCAAAACACAGACGGCCACCCTCATACCCATTAATCGGTTGCCCATACCGGGTGAGGTGGAGCAGAAGCCACTGGTCGATTATAAGTCTGAGAGCAGTGATGAGGCGGAGGAGATATCCTTTTTTCCCGCACAGCTGAAGCGTGCCAAACGACGCCAGCAGAATCACGAGCTAACCGATACTTTTAGCATACAAGAGATGACGATTGAGTCTGATCTGGATTCTGACGACAGCGGCGGCACTCAGAATCTGGAACTACTATTGCCCTCCATGAAATCAACTATTTTGGATAAGTTTAAGAGTTGCTTCGGATGCTGGCGGCGAAGGTAATGCCAGGAGTCGCAGCTCAGCAGAAGGAAGTCCAGGCACAAAGCACGCTATTGAAAGGCACTAGAAATTCATTTATAGTCACAATATTCATAACGTACAATACATAAACGATTGCCAATTCAGTCTTGCAAATATCCATTTATTTGCGATATCGTTTGGCAAAACGATCAAGAATATCGCTTCCATGTTCCGTTTCTAAGTATCCGTATTCAGAGTTAGACACACGCCCTGCAGTATCCAATGGCTCAGATCTTCGGAAGTGGCCAAATTCGCTTCGAATACCAGGCCGACGCCCATGGCGTTTCGTCGCAGCGATGTGGTGTACACCGGCGCCAGGAAGGTGTTCTGTAGAAGCCAAAATAATGTTATTGTAGAGTGTGAATTGGTATTGGAATATTTATATCAAGTATACTATAAAGAGTACTAATTGTGTAGAATGACCAAATTGAATATAGTATTGGCATTTCATATGACATTTCATCATTGCTGATTTAAACAAAAAGTAGAAATTCTCGACAAAGCGTTCCCCTGCACACTAAAGCCCCATTGGTATTCGCTATTCATACTAGCTCCAACCAATTGCTTAGCTGCCCCATTGTTTCTGCGAGAAGTTAAAACACCCAGAATTTAAAATCGGAAACAATTAGCACAACAGCTGCCCCATTAGCTGCGGAAATGGGGAAGTTGTAGGTAATTTAGTGCACAGCATTTAAACAAATATCAACGGGAGTGGGCATTATAGCCACCCCCAGCAATGTGCTCCATCCAGCGTATATGTAGATACAAGAGGACATTAGTACTTGTCTCTTGCAGACGGTGTTGGACCCGGCATAAATACAAACCTGTAGCTTGAGTCGGTGCGCTTCAATGGGCACCACGGCCAGAATGGCCAGCTCCTCGACCAGAACTTTGGGATGCGAACGCTTCAGCTGGCCCGCCTGCGTGTCAAAGCGAGCTCCCTCTATGTACAGACCGTGTATATAGCAGCCCTGCAAAAAGTTCAACGATTAAAATGCAAACAGAATTCTTAATTACAAAATTAGTGCCAAGCGAGGGGGCGGTGGGGTGGTGTGGAGGTAGGTGGTGGGCGGTGGGCGATATTTCCGGCAGTAGTCACATGGGGGTCATAGTTATGCATTTAGCGCCAGGCAGTCTACTCACCGTCGCTGGACGCTCTTCGACGTCATCGGGCTCCGAGTATGTGGTCACATAGGTAAATAGCGTGGAGCGATCCAGGGGCCAGTTGTTTCTGCGGCAGGCAATCTGCAGAGGAGGGGGGAGAGACAGCACCACGTTAGGAAAACTCACATTATGGAGAAGCTCATTTCTCACCTGAACGAGGGCCGTGAGATAGCTCTGTGGTATATGCAGTCCAGACAGCCACATGACCAGCGGCTCGCCTGAAATCGACCAATACTTGTACTGTACGGCACGTTTCTGAAATACCAGGTGAAAGCGAATCGCTGATTAGTGGGCGGTGGACGGCTGACTGATTTTTTCGCCGAGCTGATTAATGAGCTGCGACGACTGTGGGAGAGACTGCGACTCACCTTCAAATGTTCCAGCCAGCTGGCCAACTGCTTGCATGTGGCCGGCGCCAGTTTGCTCCATGCGGCTGGCAGGAGGCCATTGAATAACGAGTTGGCAATGTTGTCCAGGATATTGTCCATGCCGATTTCGCCGGCGATGGCCTGCGGAGGGCATGCAATTAAATTAAAAGGCACAATGACAGCACATATGCAGGCATCTGCTATAGTAGAGGGAGCGGAGAGGTAACTGCATTTGTGTGGGCGCGGCGACATCTACATCAAGACAAAGGCAAAGACAGCGCCAGCGCCAGTGCCAGTGCCAGCCTGAGCACCAGCACCAGCGGCAGAGTTCATTTGCATTTGTAAATTTATTTTGGCAACAAAATGCTGCAGTCCAGCAAGGGATCGCACTCGCATTCGCATTTGCTTATGGGTTGAACGTGGGCGACCACGAGCATTGGTCGACAGCCAAGTTGGCAATTGTATAAACAAAATGCAAAACAAAGCTGAAGGATTTATGTGGGCTTCCTATTGACAGGCAGAGCAGAGCAGAGCAGAGCAAAGCAAACTCAAAGTTACCTTCCGCAGCAGCTCCAGCGTCTTCTTGATGCGCACCACCAGAATATTAAACCGATCCAGCTCCTGCAGCAGCACCACACCGGTGGGTGACAGACTCATTTGGATTTGCTTTCGTATGCGCCACGTCTCGAAGGCAGGCGGAAGCTTCTTCAGTATGCCGGCAGCCACAAAGTCGATGAAGTCGTCTCGGCTGATGCCACCGGTGCCCTCACCTGAATGGGAAAATTGAAAAAATAAATTAGGCATGACAATGGCAGAGAAAATCGCCAATGTTATCTCTGTAGCAGTCAGTGGTTAGTGGTTATTGACACTATTTTCTTCTCTCTTTTTTTTTTTAAAACTCTTTACTTTAACATTGAAAATTGAACTAATTTCGTTTTTTATTGCCTTTGCTGTTGTTGGAATGCAGCCATTGCACATGGCATTTATTGTGTTGTGAATTTCCTTTTCTTTCGTAATTGTCAATTAGCAAATACTGCAGCTCATGAATATGCAAATTGTGGGCAGGTTTCCGAGTTTACCCTATCAGAGTGTGGTCCATTAGTTGGAAAGAAAGATTGGACAGCTGACTATGAGAAAACGTATTCCCAATAACATTCTTTGATATTCTTAACAGTTTAACATATGACTGACTGTAGCTAAGTAGCTCATAGTAAGCTATTTATTATAATTTCCCAATTCAACTTAAGGAACAGTTAATAGCAATGCAATTAACAGTAGCCGGATTTGCAATACTCTCTCATAAACAGACAAACTTAATGAGGGATTATTTTTCACCCAGGCAGACTTACTATCTTTATGACAGGTCTTCAAAAATCTACCCTCATTATGAAGAGATGAGCTCTACTCTTTTATCGTTCAGATCATTATTTGATTAAATACTTTACAGGTGTACAGGGAATACTTTACCGGATTTCTCTTTGTTTGGTGTGGACCTGGTAGCTATGCTTGCGCAAAGGTGTGACAAAAAGTAAAACGGCAAATTTGTTTAAATTATATTATATGTATATACATATATATGTACGTACACAATCATGGACAATGTACAAGGATACTGCGTGGCTCGCATGTGTGTGCGTGTGTGTGTGTGCATATATGTATTACTGCATTGAGTGCGCGCGCGGAAAGTGGAAAAGTGCTCTCTGATGGCGGTTTTAACACGCTTAAGCTCGCAACGCAAAATTATCGACTTTCGGGTGACGTTTTCAAAAATGGTTGTTACTGCATATGCGGATGCGAATGCGAATGTGAAGGTGGTGGCGGCGGAATCGGATCAGGGCGACTGTGGTGAGGCTTATGCTGAATCGCAGAGTTTTTTTTGCGGCGATTTGCGGCGTGCGGGCGACTATAGATGTGTGAACGTAGGTGTGTTTGTTGCAGTGTGCGAGAGTGTGGATGCGAATATGCTTCTATTTTAATTTTTAATGTATGCCCTGTTATTGTTCGCAGCCTATAATGGCGCATGCAATAAAGTTAATTGCAAAACCGCAACTAATTAATTAAATTAAATTAAAAATGTAACATGCCAAAAATGCAACAGCAATGAAAATCAACAAGATAAAATGTAATAAACGGCTGACAATTGGCACACGCTGCATGTAAATTAAACCATTTACTCGTAAATGGCTTCCGCTTTTTAACCGAACTGTCAAACACTTTATCGGATATATGTAGATTCGCGGGGATACGTACACCGTGCACCGGTAAATCGAAAAACGAAATCGAAACTTCCAAACTAAAATAATCGAAATTCCTATTAAACTAGGATTTTAAATAGAACGCATCTTTTATAAAGCTTTTTGAATATGATTTAGGGAGTGAAATTTGTATAATTTACCATTAAAAGAAAAATAAAATATTTAAAATAATTAATGAGCATTATAAGTAAATTTAAAAATATTCGAAGAGATATATGTAGTTAAAGTTTTTTTAAAGTGAAAAAAAAAAAAAAAAAAATTAAATTAGGCCTATCAAAGAAGTTAGGAAATAATATACTAGAATTTCTACTGTACTTCCATATCAATGTACCCAGCATTATATAGTATAGGCCCATTGGCCAGTCACTCACCAGTTTGCGGCTGCAACTCAATCAGGCTGTTCCAAATGTTGCGCGCGGCCATTGTGTAATAACCGATTTCCGCGTTTGGATGCAAACCAAATACATCCGGCTTATTGACCAGCGGCAGTTTGTCAATGTGGGCTGTGTGATCAATGAATTACGTATTTAAATGGGGGCTGTCGCATCACGTGACCCACTAACAGACGGCGGCAACTCACCAATGAAGTCCTCTTTGAGCACGGTCTCCTCGTCGGGCAGGCAGTAGTCAACGTTCTCGTCCTCGTAGAAGTGGAACGATTGGAATACATCGAACAGAAAGTCACCCATATATTCATTCATGTAGCAGTTGGTAATGCGTCTATCGAAGTCATCAATGACGCGGCCCCCGTACATGACCTCGCCGATTAGATACTTGAGACTATTCCACGGCATCTTCTCCTCGGAGCAGCGGGTCAAATAGTTACGCAGGATCTCCGTGCACACTTCGAAGTCTGTGTCGTTGAAATCATACGCTATGTTCCAGCCAAGCTTATCGTATTTGCGACGTTCCTAGCGCATGGAGAATGGGAAAAGGGAATGGGAAATGGGAATGTGAATGTGAAGTGTGTTGAACAGATTAATTGAGAACACAGTAACTGCTATCAACGCTATCAATATCAGTTTGTTGTGCAAAAAGCACAATGGCTGCTCCATCAATTGGGCAGCTTGGGCGCAGTTGTGTCGAGAATGCTTTTAACAAGCAGATAGAAATGAACAAATTAATAAATAACGAAGTGCAGGCTACAGCAGTCGACGCAGCTGCGCCAGCTCTTCCGATGCAGCTACATTCACAAAAAATTGGCTTTTTCTGTGTCTTGAAAGCACTGAAAACTCACTTGCACAACGCCATGGAAGAAGGCCAGAACATAGATTAATGGACGATAAGCACGATGGGAGCACGCCTCTAGACGATCCT